CAGATTTTAGTAGAAGTACCAAGAATCTCAGGGTCATTAATTCTTTGTTGGAAGCAGGATATATGATGTTGTAGTTGAATATCCCAGATATTATATATATTATATATATGGGAATTAAGCATAGTGCTGTTAGGACTGGTACGAGAAAGTTTAGCTTTGTGTTTGATCATAGTAAGATATTTGGATAAAATGCTATCACAAGTGGAGTGTTTAAGAATGATATTATGTAATCTGTATTCAATAGTAGGGATGATTACAGTATTAGTAATATAGATAGCTTGTTTGTCTGTAATCCTTTTTGTACCAGTGACATTGATGAGTTGGATTGCTTTATTATAAATTAGTTGGCTTTGTTTTGTATGTGAATAATTAAATGATTAATAAAACAAATAATTAGAAGGTTTAAATAGATAATTTTTAAGTAAATTATAAATACAATATCTAATATAAAACTCTAAGATAAACTACTTAAATAGACAATTAAAAGTTATATATATAATTAGTTATACTCTTATTTCTGTTAAAATAATTATAATACTAATCTTAATATATCAATAAAATAACTATTATAAAGTATAACTTTTAATAATTAAAAAAAAAACTTTTATAATTGCAAGTATTAGATAATTATAATATATTGTATAGAATTAGATTAGCTATATATAAAATATAATAAACTCTAATAAGTTATTTGTTAAAAATAAAATAATTTTAAGAATACTAATAAGAATTAGAAACTTAAATAAGTTATGCTTTAAAGATATTTTTATAAATAATACAAAATAAATTACATATGCAGAAGGTTTAAATAAGCAAAACCTATTTGGTTTGCAGATATAATATCTAGTATAGAACTTATATAGCAATGCATATATAAGTAAATTACTTAAATTAGATACTAAAAGTACACATGTAGTTAGTTATAACCTCTTATATAAGAAAACTCTTGAAAGTTTCCTAAAAACAAAAACTTGAATATAAAAAAACAAAAAAAAATTTAAATAATAAATTATAGAAATTGCTATTTTCATTATGGCTTTTTGCTATTTTCATCATGATTACATAAAATTTTTTTATTTTTAATTGCCAATTAAATTTTAAAAAATATATATTTTTAAAATTAAAGAAGTTTTTATTAAATAAAGATTTTTTAAACTTTTAATTAAAGTTGTAGAGCTTGTTTTTCTAATTTTAATGATAATTAAATTATTAAAATTAGTCTAGTAGATTCCAAAATATTGAAGATCAAAGATGAGAACAAAAAGATCTACAAATTACTAATTACACAAAATACTGTTGTTAATAGAATTTTGTGTAACTGACAATTTGTAGATCTTTTTGCTCTCATCTTTGATCCCCAATATCTTGAGATCTACCAGACTGATTTTAATAATTTAATCATTATTAGAATCAGAAAACAAGCTTTATAACTTTAATTAAAGACCCAAGAAACCTTTACTTATTAAATTTTAAGGTTAAGATTAATAAAAGAAAATTTTATTAGATTTTAAAAGATTTATATATATTATTGTTATAAAAACCAAAATAGAAAATCTTGTGTAATCATAGTGAAAATAGCAAAAAGCCATGGTGAAAATAGCAATTCTCTAAATTATGTATAAAATACTTAAAGTATTTATATAAATTTTAAAATTGCATTATAATAATTTTATTAAAAAAATTGTATGATTTTATTAATAGCATATAATTATTAATTTGCAATTTTGATTGGCTAACCAATATACATAATCGTCGGTCATGAGTCAACCAAGGGTTTCTTTATTTGAAACGTTCCTACCTGTAGGGTTGACAGTCTGTTTACTTTACTAGGTCACCACACAACTTATATTTTTGTTTTATTTTAGTCTTATAACTAATTTTAATTTGTTATACAATTTATATAATTATAATAACGATAAAGGTGAAATATAAAAAAATAATTTCATGCAGAGGTGATAACTTTCTTGATGCAGATCTATACTTAATTAGGGTTAGTTACTATTTTAGATAGAATTAATAAACAGGTTTTTACATTTTAAGTTGTAAATATAAATAAATATTCTCGTAACAGCCTGCTACATGTAACAACCTCAGATTAGCCAATAGTAGTTAGAGTTAGGGTTTGGGTTACACTAATTTGTAATTGAGTTGTTACAAATAAGTGCGTAACGGGTCGTTACAATTAGATTTGTCCAAAAAAAGCTTTTAAGGCAAATATATATACTAACTGAATGAGAAGCCATCTTGCAAACCCATTTACCATATTTCATTTGAAATCTAAAAATATAAACATATATAGTTAATCTGTTATTTCTTGTTTTATGAATATAGTTTCTTTAAAGTATTTCCGAATAAATTATCCATAAGTCATCGATGTCGATCGTCCTTGTTCATTTGCTCCAAAATTTATTCTGAAGTAGCAATCTAACGTTAATATTTTCGCAAGTCCGCAATAGTTTCTACGCCATGCATATAAAATAGGGTTTCGATTGCCATTACTAAATTTCATAGTAAAAAATTGCCCGCCACAAAAAATCGGGTGACTGCTGAATTTGTTACATGACAATATTGCTATTTGATTGGTTGATATTGTTCTTATAACCAAATACTGCATTTCAAATTTGATACATATTTGCGTATCGGGTATTTAACTTTGTAAGACGAAAGGAAATCTATTTACTATATACTCTTGGGTACAATCGTTTGAATTTTAGAGTTATAATAGTAGACGACTTTCTTCGTCATAGATAACAATCATTTTTTTGATGTCGACACTCTAGACTATAAAAGTTTAGCCTCTTTCTAAAAACCAACATGACAACTGAGAGAACGCCAAATAACGAACAAACTACTTTACTGGCGTTCTCCGATGTTATTCCCTCAACTACTCCAGAAGAAAGTCCACATGATTTGGAACCCGAAACCGAATCACCTAAATGTTTGCAAGAGACTTTAAATGAAAACCCCTCCTTAACTTTAGAAAATTTCATAAAAATGCTTTCGGAAAACTTCACATCGAGAACTTTTTCGGAAACAATGGAACCCACTTTTAAAGCTTTTGGAACAATTTTTTCAAAAATACCGCCGATTCATTTAATCCTATATCTACTTTTAATCTTTACTTGGAATCATTTACAAAGATCACATTTAATATTATTAGTGCTTGGATGCTTACTTGGCTACATGCTTCAGAATAATTCAGCTGCATCTAGCCGACCAAAAAATTTCTTGTATCAAGAACCGTATATACAGCAAAATATTGAGAGTTCTTTACAGGTACTTAGATACAATCTATGTTGTCTAAATCATTTACTAGTTTTCATCATATGCTAATATTATCCCAATGACTAAGGCTATCAAGAGTGCCGAAAAAGTAACTTCAACAGAGCTTTCGATAACGCCTCAAGTAGATGAGGCACTAAATAAGACATTTGATTTTATTCTTCGAGATTTTGTTAATTCTTTTTATGATCCGATAAATCCAAATAAAAATCCTGAATTTTCCAACCAAGTACGAAATGCTATGAATATCATGTCAATGAACTTGGCTTTGTGCCTTCAGAACATAGACAAAGTAGAAGTAGGCATTATGTCAAGCTTTGCAATTGCAAACACATTCATTATCCATCTGGTATGTATATTGTTTGGTAAGTCAATAATTGATTTGGACTTTATTGTCGTAAAATAATAACTTGCTAAAAAAAGTTTATTTATTTTATTTTTTTATTAATAGCGCGAATATAGAAAGTTTATTGCAACAAATAAATCTTTAGAAGTTTATTGCGCACAAAATCCATCTTCACCATTTGTACATACTATAAATAAAGAATCACAAGTACAGACTCTTCGTTGTTTGTCAAAATTAATATTAATGCGTCTTCTACCGTCAGATGAAATTAAAAGTCATGTTCTGATGGCATTACTCACTGAACTATGGACAACACAAGTTTTGGGAACTGCGCTTGAAATGCTGTGTGACCCAGATTGGCTAAATCTGTCTATTGTTGAGTATTTGACAGATAAAGATGATGAAACTCATGATACTACCTTACTTCAACAACTAGCAACTTCGATTGATGAGGAAGTATCTGGTCTATCCGAACAATTAAACCAACCTTCCTCTGATATCAAAGTACCGGTGTTGAGTGTTCAATCGTTAACATCATCACCTATATCATATCAGTCAAATTTGCCACTTGAAACTTTCAAAGAGCAAACAAATTCATTAGTTGAGTCACTCACAGAGATTTCTTCAGGCGCTACAATTCAGTCCTCCTCCGATAGCAAATTACCGGTGTTGAACGTTCAATCGATAAAATCGTCACCCATATCTTATCAGTCAAATTCGTCACTTGATGCCAGCATTGAAACTTTCAAAGAGCAAAAAAATTCATTAGTCGAGTCACTTACAGAGATTCCTTCAAGCATTACAATTCAGTCTTCCTCTGATAGCCAAGCGTCAGTGTTGAATGTTCAATCAATAACATCATCATCACCTATATCATATCAGTCAAATTTGCCACTTGAAACTTTCAAAGAGCAAACAAATTCATTAGTTGAGTCACTCACAGAGATTTCTTCAGGCGCTACAATTCAGTCCTCCTCCGATAGCAAATTACCGGTGTTGAACGTTCAATCGATAAAATCGTCACCCATATCTTATCAGTCAAATTCGTCACTTGATGCCAGCATTGAAACTTTCAAAGAGCAAAAAAATTCATTAGTCGAGTCACTTACAGAGATTCCTTCAAGCATTACAATTCAGTCTTCCTCTGATAGCCAAGCGTCAGTGTTGAATGTTCAATCAATAACATCATCATCACCTATATCATATCAGTTAAATTCGCCACTTAATGCTAACATTGAAACTTTTGAGGAGCAAAACAATTCATTAGTTGAGTCACTTACAGAGATTCCTTCAAGCGCTACAATTCAGTCTTCTGCTAATGACAAAGAACCAATATTGAACGATCAATCATTAACATCATCACCTCAATCATCCCAAACTAATTTACTTGAATCTAATCCTGAAACTTTTGAAGAGCCAAAAAGCTCCATTGAAGTACCTATGGAAACTCTTCCGGATGTTACAATTGAAGATTTTACCGATTCCCCGAATTTCTCACCATCTCGACCATTCATGCGTTCCGTGAATTCAGATAAGTTACGAATTATCCTTGAACGTCAGAATGAAGTTTTTGTTGAATTCATGGCATTTTTGGAAGAACGCGAAGCTGCAAATTTACTTCGATTTTGGCTCCAAGTTGACTCGTTCAGAAAAATTGCATCTGATGAGCCAAATATAAATTTGGTGCAAGAAGATGCATTGAAAATTTTTAATGTTTATTTTGGAGAATCTGCCACATATCCTGTAAAAATATCTAACGATATTATAATCAATCAATGTACACGAGAGATATTTAATGCACCTACATGTAATTGCTATGTAACTTTACAAGAATACGTATTTGGTGTGTTGGAAAGTGAATATTTTGATGACTTTCTTATGGTTATGAAAAACCAAGGTGAAGATATAAATTTTATGTTTGTAGAGGAATCTAAACAGATAGCACAATCGAGAAATAATTCCAGTTCTGCTTCGGAAATATCAATAGAGGGAAAATTTTTTAAACGACATAATACAACGGGTAATTTATCCCCTATTTCAAATAACTCGGAATACTTGGATTATTCATCAAGTTACGATAAACAATCGAACGGTCTGTTGACAAGCGCAACATATCGCTCCAGATCATATTCAGCTGGAAGCTTGGTTGATGCACTGAATAATTTTACATCTTCATTTACGAAGAGAAATTCTTATGCATCTACAGATGAGATGACTGATAGTGATTCTGAATCACCCCCAATAATACCTAAGATTGATCTTAGCGGAGTGAGAATTAGGTTGACGGATGTGTCCGAATCATCACCAAATAAATATATTTACTCAACTAAATCTCTTTCCTATATGATTGAGGTAGAGCGACCTGGTTCTACCGGATGGATAATAACGCGAAATTTTAGTGACTTTGAGAAAATGCATTCCGCTTTAACAAAAGATTTTCCTAAAGCTGAAAAAGTCTCTATGCCACGTTTAATGTTAAAAAAGAGCCAAGCGGCCTGCAAATCTTTGGAACGATATTTGAACATTTTATTAAGTGACCTAGCATTATGTGAGAGTGAACCACTTCAAAAATTTATGAGGAGAGATGGCGTTCAAAATGAGGGATTGGTGAAATCTGTTGGCAAAAATGGTATTGCAAATTCAGCAATATCGGTTCCAAAATCTGTATCTATGGTAAATATTGTAAATTCTAGTGCTCAAGATACTATTAATGATAAAGTAATTACACCACAATTTGGTTCAGAGGAGTCTTTATCACCGAAAAGATATTCTAGTAGTTCTTTTCAGGAACACTTAAATATTTCACCAAATATACTTACAGAAGTAATCCAAGAGATATCTGAGGAAATTTCTAACAACGATACGCCTACTCAAATGTTTTCTAATGTCGTGAGTCCTAGTGTTGAAAGTACCATTTCAACATCTTGGGATTCCAGCAAGACTGTTGTAACAACATCATCTAATGAAAATGACACATCGATTATTATAAATAATAATAAAGAGCCAGATTTGAAAGGGCTTAATATCCATTGTAATATTACCACATCAAATTCTTTAAAATCAACCAAAATTCCCTTAATTGGACCACCACCAACTCCTAAAAAACGAACTCGGCCGAATAAGCAAGTTACCAGTCATAATGCAGACCTGCTTATTGATACTATGTTTGCTATTATTGAAGAAATATTTGATTTATCAGATAAATCTCAATGGCATATTAGAAAAACAGTTCTTTCTGTTTTACGAGGAGTTGTACGGAAATCATATACAGAAGCAATTAAACAATCATATTTATTGACGATTGATTCACTTTTCACAGAAGAATATGCAATGTCAATTATTGATAATTTGAACAATTCTCTTTGGCCGGATGGCATCTTAGCGGATCTAACTCAGCAACGAAGTGAAGAAGAAAAATTGCGAACCAAAGAGGAGGTTAAGCGATTACTTTTGCAAAAAGCTATACCTGATTCGTTAAAACAAGTAATGGGTAATGACAATTCTAAAATTATGATTGGAAGGTTGGTTGATGGATTTTTGGCAGAGAAAGAAGTATTAAGAGGGATGGGTATTAATATCTTAGAAAGTGTTGTTAAACTTATTATAAATGACTGACATTTTTAGATATGGTAATTAATTTTTTTTACTTTGTAGATATATGTCATTTTATTGATTTATTTACTATATATTTTGTATTATTATAATTTTTTGTATTTTTTTATTTTTAATTTTAGGATTTAATAATAAGATTATCTTAGTTCATTTTTTGTTAAATTTTTAATTTTCAATATATACTTTGTGTTAATTATGGTAATGTTAATTAAAAATTACACTTTTAAATCTATATAATCAAGCTTATTTAATGAACATAAATAAATATTTTGTATAAATGAATACAAAATCTAAAAGCAAAATTGGACCCATTATACTAAAGTGACTGTGATAGAATTCGGTATAGTTTTAAATATCTATATCGAACATACATAGACTAATAGTGATTGTGTACGCGATTATAGCATTGTTAGTTCATGGGATCATTACATTTAGGGAATTGATATTTCTACACCCTTTTTTGATATCGCCACTCTAAACTCTACCCAATTTATGTTGGTTTGTATTAACAGGGGTGTGACAATATCAAAAAGGGTGTGGGAATATCAATTTCCTACACTTAAAGTACTTTTAAATACGCGAGAAATGTCAATAAAAAGAATTTAGAGACTTGAAATGGCATTAATAATTTATTTAAAAATTTCACTTGACTCCAAATGTTCGTTATAAGTAATAATTGGCTTATATATATTATTAGTGTATCAGCGATTTTTTTGAGCCATAACTTCAGTAAAACTTTTAGTGATCTTTGGCAAAATTAGTTGATTCCGGCCCTGCCGATTATAATTCTGAGGTATTCCGATCCGGAATTTGATGACCTCATATACAAAAACTGGAGGTTCGAATTATCCTGCTAACTTGAGCACGTTTAACTGATTCATAGTTTTTTTTTTTTGCTTTTGTACTGTACATTTCATGTTCGATCAAAATTTATTTCTATAATTTTTAATGAAGAAAATTTGTATTATGTTAAAACAAATTGACAAATTAAATAAAACAAGTTTTCGCTATGCATAAATTCAAATATTTATTTGTGAAAAATCATTGCATTAAGAATGTCCAGTAATAATTGTTTTAAAGAATTACATTGCCGCCTGTGATCCGGAAGAACACAAAGTACACTAATGTTTGCCATCATTTGAAGGTCTAAAAAAGGCATCTATGTAAAAAAATGCTACACTGATATACATGTTTTTATAGATTAATATTCTTGTGGTTTGCTAATTCAAACAAGCGCTTATTTGATATTTTATCTATTTATTTTTTAACCTACCATTTTTGACGTCAAATATCAGCAAATACACTCATACACATGGGGGTGAGTCAATAGAAACGCACCAAATCTTTTTTAGTGAAATATTTTTGCAACTTTAAACAAAAGTAACTTGACAAGAAATTATTCAAATTTAATAAAAATTTTTTTAAACAAATTCTATAAGAATTTAGAAAAAAAATTTATTAAATATGGTTAAGTTCTTGCTAAGTTATTTGGGCTTAAAGTTTTAAAAAAATTTACTTGGAAAAAATCTGGTGCGTTTCTATCGACTCACCCCCACATGTCTATTATTACATTTTATCAAGTCGTTACATCTGTAAAATTGTAATTATCCTCATTCGATTTTCGATAGGCCTGCTTAAATCGTCCCAACATCATTGTCAAATCACTTGCACGCAAGACGATTTAAGGATAAATTTTCGAACAAAAGCGAAAATGAGTATATCGATCTATACTTAAGAAACTTTGAAAAGAAAGAATAACTTTTTTATAAAAAAATATATTAGTTACCAACGATTTGTCAAACGCGATTTTTTTTTTTTTGATAAAATAATTAGTTGAGTAAATTTTTTTTTTTTAAAAAAAAACAATAATAAAACTATCACCAAAATATGTAATTTACTAAACTCCAAATTTCGTCCTATAAGAAAAATAGAAAATTAATAACACTGTTCATTTAGTAATAGAAAACGTTAGAATCTTATTAAATAAGGTAGTTAATAAGGAAGACGTAATCAATTTCTTTTACAAAACCAGTAAACCTTATTAAGGCCAGACCAATTTAATTTTCTGTTTAACATAATCCCCTCCCTCTGAATTTTTTAAAAAATCGTATATAAAAAACATCATTTTAACCAATCAAATTGCAGTATTAGGTTTTAAATTTTTACATTTTTTCAGCCAATAGAATTACTGTATTTTATTGATTTGTTTTTTTTATACCCCTCCCCCCACTCTTGTGAGCTATTTTATTTTATGTTAAACAGAAAATTAATTTGGAGAGGCCTAAATAAGATACATCAGAATGCATATCCTTTCGCGGGATCAAAACAATCCGTGCAAATAGACTATATAAGTAATGGCGCCTAGAGTTAATACTTCAATCCGGATTTATATATCCGGATTTATTATATCCGAATTTTTTATAATAAAACCGGATTGAAGTATTAACTCTAATGGCGCCAAAGAAGGACGTTCACAAATAATTCTGTGGCCACGATGCGCTTCCAGTCCTTTGACTATGGTTCGCCTGAAATCACCATCGCAGCATTGTTTTGTATAAAATACACCACCTTTACTGTATCCCAAACCAAATAGCTTAAGGGACCGCACCAAGGAGTCCAGAAAGTTGGATTGTGACCCTATTTGTGTCAGAACAAACCATATACCATCCTTACATCGTCTAAAAACAAAGTCACGTTCGCAACATTGTTCCATAGGATAACACCTTTTCACTATATCGAAACAAGTAGCTGGACGAACTCACGAAAGGCAATCTAAAAGAGAAGGGTTTAACTATCTACCTTATCTAGTTCTAAATATTGTTTCTTCTACAAGTCGCGAGATCTTGTTTCTTCTATAAATTGCCGCTTCATTTTTTGCGTTTATTTATGAGAACCGATTTTTATTGTATTATTTTGAAAAATTCGTGGCATTATATATCCGGAGTATATCATATGATAGTCATCTTTTTTAGACACAAATCGAAATGTAATTCAAAGCTACGTTTTTGATGCACCATTGTTATTTACATCTTGTGACCTCTCATTTAGTGCTAGGCAAATATAGATTAATTAATTTGACCAAATCAAGACAGTATTTGTATTAAAGAATATCGACTTATAGCTACATATTACAACGTAGCAGAATAGTTCTTTTAATAAATTAAAACAACTTAATTATACTAAAATAGATATATACAGTTATGCATAAAGTGGAGCTTAAATTGATCTTTTTTTTCAAATAAGAATGTACAAGTTAAGGATAACGAACTTAAGGGTAGAGTTCAATGTAGATCATTTTTCATATAACCTTGATTTAAATTTTTTTATTTTTAATATTTTAAAAAATTTTATTAAGTTATTGTTTTAGTTTTTTAAATAAAGTTTGTAAAATAGGTTCTGATACTTTTTTTTTTTTTTTTGTTAAGATCATGCTATTGTATTACATTATTTTTTATATAAGAATACAACTAGTTACATGTACAACTTTTGGTTGCCTATTTAAGTAGTCTGCTTTAAGGTTCTACATTAGGTGCTGTATCTATAATCTACTAGATGATTATTCATTTAAACTTTCTGATTATTGATCCTTATCAAACCTTAACCAGTCATTATTTTTCTATGTATATTTTTTGTATACTATTTGAGTAATATATATCTTCTTTTTTTGAATTTGTATATAGGTTGTTACTTATTTCAAAACATGTAGCTTGTGAGAACCTTCTTATTAACTAATCTACTTATTTTGCAGTCCTATTAACAAGGTTATGTCTTTGCAGAATTTACTAAAACTTAATATCTGCTTTATAGTATATTTTTAGTACTTTAGTATATCTCTGTTTTGTTATTAAATTCTTAATTCAAATAGCTTAATAAGACTGTAAATTATCCTTAATATACTAAATTTGATCTAGTATTTTTTTCTTTAGTCTGATTTTAGTAACTTAGTTAGTAATATCCTTTATCTAAAGGTTTTTATCTATCTAGTTTTTTTATATTAGTATCTGTTTTTTAGATTTAGCTTTTATAATAATATTATTAAAAGTTTTGTATTATTTTTTTATTTAAATCTTTTTTAGAAGATAGAGATGTAACAGATAAGAAAAGCTGGAACAAAAACAAGCAGGTTTTAAATAAAAAACATATTAAAATAGAAAATGATCTCTAGTTACAGAATATAGAAGAATAGTTAGAAGTCAAAAACACTAATGCAAAAAGAAATAATGAAAACATAATCAGAAAAAAAACAAGACTAGATATACAAATACATGTGAAAACAAAACAGATAGAAAAAGTTTTAGGTCAGATCTTAGACAGACTTAATCAGTTAGAGGATACTTAGCTAGATATAAAAGAAGGTCTGGCCAATTATTTCTAAGAATACTCAAGTTGAACTCATGAATATAGATGAGGAGATCAGGGATTTTTTGCATAATAAGAGAAGAACATTCAAAGAAAGAAATCGAGGGGAATCTCCTAATCTAAAGAAAGAAAAAAAAAAAAAAAAAAAAATAAAGCAAAAAAACACAGAAACAAGATACAAGCAACTAAAAGAAAAATGGAAAAAAAATAAATAAAAATTGCATGTTACAACATTAACAGACTTAAGACCAGAGGTTGAAAATTAGAAAACCTGCTAAACTAGCAGAAGAAAAAGAGATAACATTTTTGGAAATAACAGAAACAAACATTGTAGAAAAAGAAGAAAAGATCTTGTTATATAATCTTAATACAAGATTTAAAGTTTATTGGGTGAGTGCAGCATCAGACAAAAAAAAAAGATCAGATATTGGAATCCTAATAGATGAAATCTGAGAAAAACATGTCAGAGCAGTCAAAAAACATAGCAAATATATAATAGAAATAAAACTATACTTCAAACAACTAGTACTGATAATAATAGAGGTATATATCCTACCAAATGACAAAGCAATCATCAAAAAAGTATAGCAAAAAATTGTAGAAATAGTAACAAACAAGAGAAAGTATACAGAAATAGTTATAGT